GGCACAGACTACAATTCCCATCAGACCCGGGGTCAACAACTTGACAAGCCCCATCAGCCCACTGCCCCTCTGGCAAATACTGCATCCCACTGGTGTGGGGTAGATCCAGCTGGAGTCTAGGTCTGGGAGCGCTCTCTCCTCTTAGAGGGACACCTCTGGGCCTGGTTGGGGCTGGAGATTTCCTCTCTAGCTCGCCCTACACCCAAGCCCTGCCCCCATCTGCGTGCTTCTCCCTGGTCTCTGCAGGGCGTGGTTTTCACAGATCGGGCCCTAAGCCCCCTATCCCCTCCAGAGGAAGCACCCCGGGGGCTCCACTCCCAGGCCCTGCCTGCCCCACTGCAGCCAGGCCCGGCCATGTGCCACTGCCACATCTTGGCGTCTCTTCTCCTGCTCCCTGCCCCCTAAGCCTCTGTGTCTGTTGATCCTTCTGATCCCAAGCTCCGGCAAAATCTGGCAGAGCTGTCCTTGGCCACCCTAGCCTGCCACAGCCAAGATCTTGCCATTGAACTCGTAGCCTTGCCTAGCTCCCCGGGCTGCTCCTCCCACCAGGCTCCCATCTCCCCCTGGGCCAGGGCTCACCTGCACCCCACATTGTGAAGCCCCAGGGCACCTGGCCCTCCAGGGGCTCAGCCACACTGAAAAACTGAGCCCAAAGCAGACAAGCATGTTCCGTGGAGCTGGGACCGTCCAAAGTTAGCTTTGTATGGAAGAGGATGCTGAGGCCCGGGGTGGGGAGGACTTCCCAAGGTCACTCGGTGTCTGCATCAGGCAAGGTGAACAAATGGACTCTCCAGTCCTTTCTGTGGCTCTCAGAGACCAGGGAAGGGTCAAGTTCTCACAAGGAGCCTGGAAAGGCCTGATTCATCCTCCCCATGCCTGCAGTAATCTGTTTGACTCTTGGCTTGTTAACCTGGGAGGCCACAGACCTGTTCTGTCATTAATTACTGTGTGACCACGGACAAGATTCTGTCACGCTCTGGGCTTCCTCATCTGTCAAGCTCTCAGCTTCCTCATCTATAAAATTAGGGCATTGGGTTCCAGGCCCAGGGTGAGGCCAAGGTCTGGCTCTTGTGGACCTCCTGCCTATGGATGAATAATTGATCTCCCCATCCCCTCCTGAGCCTGGGACCCACCATGGATGGCCCAGCACCCTGGTCCCTGGGTAAAGGGCACATTCAGCTCCCAGCTCTTAGGGGGAGGCTGGCAGCCTGTGTCCTGTCACGGCACAGTTCCTCTCCCTGCTGGGCCACACCACCGGCCCTCTTCCTGACCTTTGCCTTCTGTTCCGAACACCTCACCCCTGCTAATATTTCACTCGTGCTTCGAGTCCGGCCAAATACCTCCTCTCCCAAGAAGGCCTCTGGTTTGGGCTCACTGCTAGGGAAGGTTCAAGGCCCATCTGTCTATCTCCCTAGCACCCAGCACTGGGCCTGGTGCGGGGGCTCATCGTGTTTTGACCAAGGGAAGGGGAGGAATACTCACCAGGCATTTCCTCTGGGCCCGGCCAGGCTAGGTATCTGGGGATGGGGTGGGAGCCCCTCACGGGCCAGAACAACTGGGTTTTGAACACCCTTCCTCCCCTGACCCACACAGAGCAGCACCGCTGAGTTCGGCTTGACCCAGCTCTCACCCATCACCATCTCAACCTTCGATGCTGGATGGGGCCACCGGTTGCAGGGGTTAATCAGGCCGGTCAGGGCACAGACCTTGTCTCTCTACCCTCTCGCCCCCAGATAGACTAGGGGTGGGGGAGGAGGGCCTCAGGCCTTGGACCACAGACAAATCCCGCCTAGCCTGAGCCCTCTGCAACCTTTGGTCCCAACTCACTGGTTCTTTAGGACCTTGGGGCACACAGGCCCCCCAAGGTCCCCCTGTGCAGCGTCTCCCAGGCTCCAGAGCCCTCCCAGGCCTGGTCACCTTGACTCTTGTCCCTGCCCTTCAACCCCAGCTGTGTCCTGCCTCCATATCTGGGTCTCAGCCCCGTCTCCCTGTGTCCCCCAGCTTCTCTGGGAGCTTTCCTTGGGCCCTTCTCTGTCCAAGGCTTTGACGGCGTCTCCTGAGGGTGTCCCGCTCTCACCCACATCCTCCGCACCACCACAACTGCCCCTCGGTGCCCCCTTCTCATGGCCCTGCACCCCAGCCTCCGTCTCCTCACCCCACAGCTCCTGCTGTCCCCACAAGATAACACGCTGTCAAGACCCCGCGCTGTCTTCCTTCCCCCACATTCGATCAAAGCCGTACTGGCTCTGTGGCAGGCAAGCCGCATGTAACATAGGGCACTGGGTTTCCCTGGGGTCGTTCGTTCACTGGTCCAGGGTCCAGCAAGCTTGTCCTGGCAAGGAGTTAGCAGGCTCTGGAGGAAGGGAGGACCCCTCAGAGACTCCTCACTGTGAAAGTCCAACCAGGGGCTCCCCTTCCCACTGGGCGTTTGAGGAAGACTTGGGGTGCCTGGGACCCCGGGTCCAGCTCTACAAGGCTGTACATTGGAATGGGGTGCTCCCGGGAGTCTGAGAAGGACTTCCCACCCCTCCCCCACCTCAGGCAGCTACAGCACTTGGGAAATACTCACAGGAGCATGGATCACAGAAGCCCCCCCCACCCCCCACCCAACTCCTAAGCTGAATGCCAGGACATGTC